GCCGCGACTGCTGCCACGCGGCCCAATAGGGACGAGCCAGGAGGTCCCCCACGATGACAAGACTGCCACGACGCTCACGTCGTGGCCACGCGTCGCTCCGGCGGCGGGAAGTCGACGCTCCCGCCAAAATTGTCGGTGCTCGATCCACGCGGCACAGATCGGACCGTCAAGTTTGGTCGGTGTCGACCAAGTCATCCAACGGTCCACAACCGAGCCACGCGGCACAGTCACAACAGTGTCCACGTTTAATGAACCTAACCACACAAATAAGCGCGCCGACGGGTAATCGGCGCCGATCACCAGGCGATCGCGGTAGGGTTGCCACGCGGCCCCGCAGTAATCCAGGGCCCCTGGGAGATGGAAGTCGGCATGTCGTTATTTCCGCTCTGAGGCGCCAATGTCGGGCCCACGCCACGTCACACACGCCCATTCCCTCGTGGAATGGCCCAGGCTTACGCCTCTTAGGTGTAGCGCGGCGTCCCAGCAGCCATGCTTGGCACGTGACACGTCGGACACTGCGCCGCCGCAGGAGAACGCATGCATAGCGGCAGCAGCATACGGGGTTGCGTGAAGCGCGGCCGCTTCGGAGACACTCGGGACCGTACTCCTTCGTGACCCTCCGCTTGTGCTCATTCCCTTGTCAGTTCCTGCTTTCCTTCCTGCTCTCCGCTGCCTGTCTTTCTTCGCGATTGTAGGTTTGTCGGCTGCCGACTAATCGATCCCGTCGGCACAGGTTGCTTCTACGTGGTCGCTAACAATCCGGTCGGTGTGTAGGTAAACGAGAGGTCAGTACTTGTCGACGTCAACATCGGACGTTTTAGGGCAACATCGGGGCAAACTATCGACATCTTGGCCGACCTAGCAAGTCGGCGACGCATGGCCAGAGGTCGTCCTAGAGCCCAACAGCCGCAACCCATCCCACCCCCCGCCGACTCGGTAGACGACGACATCAAAGCGGAGCTGGAACGTCTTGAGGTCGAAGCCGAGTTAGACGCAATTGAGCGAGAATTCGAAGAAGACCGTCATTTCGCACCCGTGACTCAGTACCGTCTCTGGTTTAACAACCTCCGCATCGCACACGGACGACGATAGCGCAATCATGGCCGACATGGCCGACGTCGACATGCCCGACGCTAGTCCCCCCACCGACCACAATCCTACATCTACCGACGAAGAGACGCTCCCGTTACTCTACGATCTTGACAAGCTAACGCAGATTCCAGAAGGGGAGTTCACCATGGACATTCCCCCACCGCCGGTCGGGGAGTTCAACAAGAAAAAAAAACAGCAGCCTGCACGAAATGGACAGCCAGGAACGTCGTCGGCACATGCCGGCTCTGGAAACCAAGTTGATGACGACGAGGAGGAGGATGAGGAGGAGGAGGAGAAAAGCGATGACGAATACGACGAGCGGCCACCCGGTAGCACTAATCCGCGCACCTTGGACGAACGACTCAGGCGGGAGCTTGAATTCATATATGAACTGCTCGAACAGGACGAGGACGCAGACCAGGAGAACATGTCGGTGCCGCGCGAACAGTGGAGGGCGGCAGACTTCGTCGAGGAAGACATGGTGTACGCGTGCATCGACGTGCTCGTCATGGACACATTACGCCACCTGCAAACCCTGGAGAAGAACAGCACGCTGAGGCAGTACACCTCCTGGATATACCACTACAAGAGGTGGGCGGCGAAGATGTTGAGGCAGATAGGCGGCAAACTTCCCCAGGAGCACAGGCTTAAGCACGTCGACGAGATAGGCCACTACATCCGGGACAACAAGAAGAAGAATTGGGACCAGGAGGCCGATGTCCCCCGGGCGTACGTGTGGCTGCACGGCCCAAGGGTTACCATCACCCGGCTTCGCGCATACGTGAAGTACATGGTGCGTGAGTGTAAGCTCGATGCCGAGTCCACCGAGGAGGGGGACAACGCCGCGCGAACCCAGCCTGTGCACTCTACAACGGTGCACACGCTCCTCGGGCGCATAAAGGCATGCCAGATGGCGGCGAGAGTGGAGGCGACGCTCTACCGGGAGACGGAGCTGAGCATCATGCGGGAGATATCGGTGGTCAGGTCGGAGGTGCGGTTCATGATCCGCACCAAGAACGAGCGGGACATCAAGTAAGTGCAGGTTCAATCTATGTCGTCCACACTCTGATGTCGACGCCGCCCTGAATGACCCTTACCCTTGGCTTTGTGGGCAGGAATTGCGCCGATCGGCGTCGAGGAACCCTCGGCGATACCTACACCGCCGAACAGTTTCGGCAAATCATGATGAGGGTGCTGCCGACGAGGCGGCGAAGGTGTGGAACCCGCGTGAAACGTGTCCTTCGCAGACACTGTGGAGGTTTCTGCTCATCAAGGTGCTCACGCTTCTCTCCCACCACAGCCTCCTGCGCGGTGCAAGCATCCGCGAGATCACGCTCCCCGACATCTTCTTGTACCGACTGGCGAGCACCTCGTCGATGAACCCGGAGAACCACCCGATCGTCATGGTCATCGCTGCGCGGAACTCGAAGACCTCCAAGGATGCGCGTCTGCAGCAGAGCTACGCGGCGCGGCACCTCGAAGCGGAGTTGTGCGCCGTCGGCGAGACCGGCCTGTGGTTGCACTTCATCCTCGACCAGATTGGCCAGTTTCACGGCGTCCGCCTCATTCCGCCGGTCGACACCAGCACACGCGCGAGCTGGTACAAGAAGCACCTTTTCTTCGCCAAAAACGACACCGACCAAGGGGAGCTTTCGGCGGCGAGCCACCAACGCTGGACGCGGCAGTTGTGGGACACCAACAAGGTGTTCTGCAAGAGGAACGTGCACGCCGCTCGAGCGGGAGGGGCCCAGGAGCTGGCCATCGACGGCACGCCGCGCGCCGAGATCGCGGAGCTTGGACACTGGGCTCTCGACAAGATGACGCGAGCGTACATCACCGCCATTCCGGTGGGGGTGGTGATGAAGAAGGCCGGCTACTCTGGTTACAAGCAGGACTACTTCTTGGGTCGGAGCAGGGTGCTGCCCTCCGAGGCCCTCCTGAAGCTCCTCGCCGAGCACATATTCCCCGGCGTCGACGACATGCTGAAGAAGGTATGTTAGTATGGTCGTCCTCGTAGCCTTGTTGTCGAGTCGTGTTGCCGACCTTGTCTGAAATCCGCGTACACGTGACAAATTGCAGGCGGAAGGGAAGGCTGCCGAGGGGTCCGACGCCGACAAAGCCGCGGTGCACTTCTGGCGCACTCTCCTGATGCTGCGCCGCATCGTCGCCGAGGACCTAGCGGTGAAGCTGGTCCGCACACCATGGCACCCGTATGTGCAAGGTTCCAAGCTCTGCCGGATCCCCCTCTTCCAGCACTGGGCGAAACGGGTGGAGAGCGTCGACACTGAGACGATCAACAGGCGTCACGACCCGACCCAAATTCAGCCAGAGATATGTCGACGATACTATCGCCGACGACTGTAAACCAAACCACCGCGCCCCTAACGTCTTTGTCTTACCGCTGCAGGAAATCTCGGTCCCCTTGGACACCGAGTACTACAACATGTCCCTCAAGGTGCAACTGAAGAAGGAGATGGAGCGCGCCGCAAACGAGAAGATTGACCTCCAGACTAGAGGAGATCGAGAAGCGCGACGACACCATCGCGGCACTCACCGCCGAGGTAGCCCGTCTCACCGAGGCACTCAGCTTGTCGGAAGCACGGAGAGTGCCTGAGGCCCCGCCGTCGGCGCCCGTGCAAGCTCCCAGCGAGGGTGGCTCGGCGGATTCGGCCAGCACGGGGGCTGGAGCCAAGAGAGGGGATGACAAACCCCCGCCACCCCCACAGACGGACGAGGAGGCTAGTTACGAGCTCAACGTGGTGCAACCGTGGCGGGAGGCAAAGACTGTGAGGGACGCTTGGCGCCTATGGAACTCCGCCACCGCCAATGACACCCGTCGCCTTTGCGACAGGGTCGCCGAGCAGGGATTTATCGCCCGCCACACCCTCCTCACAGGAAAGGGCGCGACGCAGGGTGGGCTCGACATGAAGGTGCGCCGCATGATGAAGGCCATGGATGCGGTGCGCCAGCTACGCGCGAGCGACGGCGACGCCGACACCGAGGCCGTGGTCGACGCACTGAACAGGATCGCGGCACCGGGCATTGGGACCTTCTGTGACGCCCTCACGGTGCTCAACCCGAAAACGGCACCGATGTTGTCCAAAGAGCCTGGCATGGGAGTCAAGGGGCTGGGCCCCAAGGTGGTCTCGAAGCTTCGCCTCGCCTGTGCGCTTGTGGCGCCCAACCTGAAGCCGAGTGATTGGCTCACCGGTCTGTTTCCAGACACCTGGGAGGAGCAGATGCCGAAGACCAAGGCCGACCTGGCGAAGCCGACTGCACCGGCCAAGTCGACAGCACCGGCCAAGCCGACCGCACCCGTGCAGCGTCCTCCGACCAAGCGCAAGAAGTCGGCATGAAGTCCCTCCTAGGACATGTGTCAGAGTAGTTTGATGCTGTTGATATTGGCCCCCCCCCCCCCCCCCCCCCCCCCCCCCCCCCCCCCCCCCCCCCCCCCCCCCCCCCCCCCCCCCCCCCTCCCCCTTCGAATACTGTTTCTGGTAGTTTGTAAACAACCCACATCAAGGTTCGGGCTGAACCCTAGTTGTCGGTGAATGTTGTCGCTGAATGTTGTCTGTCGCCCAGAACGATAGGTGTCGCTAAACTCGATGTCGACCTTTTGCCGACAAAGCTCACCGCCGAGAACCATGTTTCTATTATGTCACCGGTCATCGCCGACTAGCATGTGCATATCATGTCGACATATGCGCTGACATGGCTCATCAGGTGATAATCGGTTAGCATGTTTCTATGTGGACACCGATTTGTTCAACCCAAAGTGAAGCGAACAGAACTGTAGCAAAAAAAATTCTTATTACGAAGAAAACATTTATCAAATCTGCGCCGAATTCGGCGCCGACCATACCGACATTGTACACACCCTAGCAACCTAGCACACATCCGTCCGCCGACTACGCATCCGTACTGTCCTTCGCCTGCTTCTCCGCCTTCGTCTTCTTCCTCTTGCTGCCCTTGCCCTGCTTGACCTTCTCACCCTTCCTCCCCCTGTGCTCCAAATCGTACTCCATCTTCGCGTCACACGGCACATCGATGCCCTCCGCTTTGAGCTTGGGCCCGGCGACGGGGCACATTCCCCAGAACGCCAAGGTCTCGACCGTCGCTCTTGCGATCATGTCGGCCTCGACTTCCTCAATTCCCGCCTCGAAGGCCCTGGCCACTCCATAGCGCTGCAGCTCTGGCGCGACGTTATGTGCAACCTCCCCCGCGGGAGCCTTACGACTTTTTGCAAAGTCGATAGCCAAGTGCATGACCTTCTTGAAGCGCTCGGCCCTCTCCTCCCCTGCACCTGCCACCATCGCGGCTACCTTCCCTTCGCCCACAGCACCGAGCACCGACGCACCCGTCGACATGTAGCACCAGAGGGCGCATGCAGATGCCGCTAACGCCTGGGCCCCCATCTCCGTCTTCTCGTCCGCCTTCCCCTCCGCGCCTTCCATCTCCGCGTTCTCACCCGCCTTCCCCTCCGCGCTCGCGTCGACTTTCCCAAACGCCACGCTCGCCGCAACCTTCCCATACGCTGCGCACATCGACACGTGATTTACCATCGCCGACAAGAGAGCGGTTGTCTCCGCCCTGCCTTCCTCCGTGTCCTCGATGATGGGGAACCACATCGCCGGCCAGAGCACGTCATGAAGCGCATCACCCGAGCTCGCGTACCCACGGTACCTGCCGAGTATATCGTCGAACCTGCCGCGCAAAAACATTAAAACAGCACGACTTGGTCGACATCAGCGATCTTGACACCGACTGGTCGACAGAACTCGGCACGTCGGTAACCGACTTACCTTGCTCTCGGATGGCACAAGCCTCTGGCCCACATCACCGTCCACATCCCGGTCGACAGGAACCTGAGCTCCTCCCATACCGCCTTCCATTCATCCAACTGCCCCGGCTTCAAGGCGGTGAGCTCCTTCATGAGCACCTTGCTCACGTAGCCGTCGTAGACCAAGTACGCAATCGCGTGCTCGTAGGCCAGCTCCATCTTCTCGCGCGACTAGCCGATGTACCGATTCTGGCCCTTGATCTTGATCTCGCCCACCCACCCAAGCCCGTCGCCATACCTGTCTCGACGGATGCCATGACCCTGGCGTCCATGCTCTTCCTCCTCCTCCCCCTCCTCCTCCTCCTCCTCCTCCTCCTCCTCCTCCTCCTCCTCCTCCTCCTCCTCCTCCTCCTCCTCCTCTTCCGCCTTCGCCTTCCTCTTCGCCGGCTTATGTTTGCCGCCCCTCTTGTCCTGATTCCGTGCCGGCTTCTTCCCTTTCTCTTCCGACATCTCATTCCCCGCCGACATCGCCCGCGTGCTCCTCTGAGAGACCGCCTTCCCTTTCCCGTTGTCGTCCTTCCCTTTCCGTCCCGCATTTCCTTCGGCGACAGCAGCCGTTGCGGCCGTCGGCTCCGCCGAACCCCCTCCGTGGGTCCCCGACGGCTCCGCATGTGCCGTGTCCATGATGGCCAGTGCTGGGGCATGCTCGGGGCGTTTTGCTGCTTCATATTGAGCCAGAACGGCAGCGAGGTCGGCATGCCTGTCGGCTCCGAAGCCGGTGGATAGCGCCGCGCTCACACCCTTCTCCGCCGCAGCATCGACCACAGCTGCACCTGGTGTGGGTGAAGTCGCGTTTACCGACGTCGGCGTCGCGCTTTTGCCGGGTTCCGGCTGAGTCACTTGTGGAGCTCCCGCTTTGCGTGCGCCTAAATGGGCGCGAAGAAACGCGGATTTGGGTTCCGCGGGCGGTGGGGCGGCGACTAGAGGCACGGCAGGTGGGGCACCTGTCGATTTGTCGGCAACCTGCGAAGTGACTGAGCGACGTGCTGTTTCGGCAAGGGCGACGTCGAGCACTGGAGGCTGCTGCACGTCCCTGCGATGTGCATCCATGCGGCGGAGCATCTCCCTGAGCGCGTTAGGGCGTGTAACATTGCGATGACCGAAGCCAAAATCCGACCATTTGGTCATGTTGGCCGATATGCGAGGGAAGTGGTAACAAACACCTGGGGCGTTCTCTGTAGATGCAATGACCATGGTTGTGCCAGGTCGATGTAGGGGCACCCACCCTTCACTACCCCCGTAATAAGAATTTCAATGTCGAATCCAAAATTCAGCATTCGATGTGGGTGTGGATTGTACGGGGCTCGAGAAGATGGTAGTTTTTAGCAACCTCACAGGCCTCCGCGAGACAAATTCGGGAACTAAAACGTATCGCTATCTGTGGGTGTTTCCCCGAATTTTATTCTGCGGGTAACTATCACGGCGGTCGCACGTACGGTCGCTTGGTTTGGGCGTTTGCTGAATCGGTCGTTATCGTGGTCATTTGGCGGGAAAATCTCGCATCCCTCGCCATCGTGTTACTCCCTTCGCATTCGCACGCCCCAACCAAATGGTCGGATTTTGGCTTCGGTCATCGCAATGTTACACGCCCTTACTGTCGGCGGGCACCTTAGCAGGTGACGGAAATTCGAGCTTAGCCGCAGCAGCCGTCGCGTCGCCCTTGTCGGCAGTTGGTGCTGCTGGAGCTGGAGGGGCCGCAATGGCCGGCCCATCGGTGGTGTTGGCGCCTGACTTGCCGGCCGGCGCGGGGGTAGCCGCTGGGGGCTTACGGGGAATCGACTTGGCAGAGGCGGCCTTCGCGTTGCCCTTGGCCGCCACCGCGACGGACGGTCCCTTGGTGGTTCCGGCCAGGGCCCAAAATTGGTTTATGCCTACTCTTACAAATCAGGGTACCAGCCCCTCCTTGAACAGACCCCTAGGGTAAATTTTCCCATAGCCTGATTTCAGCAGGGTAACTAAGGCACTAGGTTGATTTGAGCAGGGTAGTTTTAGGCCAACCCTGTTTTGGTTTAGGTTTAGTGAGATACAATTCTACTAACATCCGAAATAAAGTAATACACACAAAATCCATTAACTCTTAGAAAGTCTCACATGAACTACACACCTACTCATTGCCACCACCACTGCCTACATCTTCTACAAACTGAGTCTGTGAAGCTCTGGTGGGGTCGAACTCCCTGGTGGATCGCCTCAGCTTCTCTCCACGAAAGATGACGACCACCTCAAACCAGTCGACATCGTAGCGCAGCAGGGAGCAACGCATGAGATGCTCCAGGCTTGTGCCGCCCAGGCTGCCACGGCCCCACGTCTTGATCAGATTCTGCTTCGAGAAGCCACGCTCGCATTCGACCGTGCTCAATGGCAGCACGGCCACTGACTGCCACATCCGCATGATGTTGGGGAAGGAGACACGCCATGCATCATCCCGCAGCATGTTCGTCAGCGCCTGGTGGAATTCCTCGTTGTTGTGCTGGGCGAACATTGTGGATGTAAACATCCACAGCTCCTGCTGGGCTCTCTTGTAGTCGAACCCTGTGGTGGGGCGGATTGCGAGTGAAAGCTAAGCCGATGGTCGGAGACATGGGTAGGGGTGGGGGGCATTAGTCCAACAAGCCACAGTATGCAGGATGTGCAATGGTCAACCGCAAGGCAGGCATAAGAGCGACAACAAACATGATAACATGTGCAAGCGCAACGGCAGGCTTACCAGGCAGCCTGTGGTGGTACAGCTTGTGCAGCTGCCCGAGCCACTTCTTGAAGGTTTCCACCCGCTTCGTGTCGTCGGACACGTACGAGGCTGTGCGGAAAAGCTTCGAGCCTTCCAGAAGCTCCAGGTCTCGCATGCGCCACTCCAGCTCCTTGTCAATGGCGCGCGCGTACTTGATCGCCAACTCGACGCACGCCGTAACATCGCCTCCCGTCTCGTGTCCAGGCAGCGGGCACTCGTGCAGCGTGAACTCAAACGTCACGGGATTCCCGTCCCCGTCTACGCCCTCCGCCTTCATCTCGCGCTTGTCCGTTTTTCCGTGACTCTTGATGAACTCGGGAAGCTGCATCTTCTCCCCGCTGCCGAAATGTTGTGTAGGGTCGCGGAGGGAATACCGCGTCTTCAGACGCAGCCTTGTCTGCTGCACGATGTGCGCAACAAGGGTGATGTCCACCTGCACATCGGGATTTCAACTAGATCGTTAGTATTCAAGCTTGCAGCCGACACCACAAGCCACCAACAAACACGCGTACCTGGCGCTGCTGGAATCGGAGGTTCAGGCTGTTCAATTCCCACAGCACATCCGCTAGAAAGCGGATGAGAAAGTGGAACTTGAACGAGGTTACCACCTCGTAGAGCTCTGCCTTGTAGTCCTTCAAGACCACTATGGCCGCAGGTAGCACGTCGAGCAGGCGCTGTATCGCTTCACCGCGGGCGAGCCAGCGTGTGTCGCTAATCCCCTGCGCCTGCACCGCGGATTCGTCTGGCAGAAAACCCGCTGCATCTCCTGGAACTTCGAGTAGTCCACGTTGCTGCGGCCGATGTGGTCAGCGAAGGCGCGCACGACATCGTCTATCATCAGCAGGTCAGGTACCTCTTCAGCAGCATCACTGGCAGCGAGTGCCTCCCTGAACAGAATATCACAACAATTGAAGGTTAGTCAACCAGCATATTTGGTATAGCAGCAGCACAGAACACACACCGATGACGCTTACCTATGAGCAATACAATGGGTGGAGGCCAGATGTGGGATGCGCATACGAAGGCGTGTCACCACTCCCCGGTTCTTGCCGACCATCACGCTGGCACCATCGGAGGCGACGCTGGATATCTTCATGAGGTCGACCCCGATACCTGTCAGGTACTGCACGACAGCAGATGTGAGAGAGGCACCGTCACAACGTTCAAGAGTGATGAGAGTCAGGAACTCCGTGACCACCGTGGTGTGCTAGAAGAACGTGGCGTAGAGAATGATATGTTTCCCGTTCACACGGTCCGTGCTCTCATCGAGCTGAATCCCTATCCACGGGGAGTCAAGCAGGTGATGGTGCTGTGTCTCTTGGAGGTATGTCGACAGGGCGCGCAGGTTCTCTTTGAAGCCGTAACTGCCAAGGGACAAGAGTGGTGGTCAGATCACCGTGTATGAATTTAAAAACACATCTGGTATTACCACAGCAGCAAACCACTGACTCAGTGTAGTACGCGCCGTAGCCACCAGCGGGCGGAAGGTCTGGTAACCCCTCCTTCGCCAGAAACCAACACAGCGGGACGAACATCGCTATGGGGGCGTCGGCCTTACATACAAAATGCGCGATGTGGAGGAGCCGAATGATGTGACGACTGGATGCGTCTGTTGCCTGCCAGCGAGTGATAGAAGCCTGCTTCGCCTTCTCCGCCTCCACCTTCTCTTGGTTCTCCAACGCCTGCTTGTGTGCACGGGATGAGGTGTGAGTGCGGATGCTGCCAATCTGGAGATCCCGCGCTCCCTCACCCCTCGGCCCGTAAGCGGTGTGCGCTTGTGGGTCTCCATGCTTCACACAAATAGCACACTTCAGAGACGGACGGCCGTTAGACATGCGCAGTAAACGCAACCACTTGAAGCTACCTGCCCACTGACCCTCAAAGGTCTTCTTGACCGACTCATACTCAGCATCCGCCAGAGCGGAGGGTGGCTTCGGATCGGCAGAAGGAGCAGAGCGCTTGTGGGGAGTAGCGTTTCGGGGAGGAGGGGCGCCCCAGAGCGTCTGCTGCTTGTACGTTGTTCCCACACGCGGTCGCTTCACGGGCGCGGTGCTGACAGTAGACGGCGAAGCAGTGGGCGGCTTTGACGAGCCCTCGCCGCCGCCGGGAACTAATTCAATGTCTGGATGTGGTTCCCACGCCGTGGGCGAGTCAGGAGGCTCGAACGGATAAACCGTTCCTACCACAACTTCTGGTGACGGCTCGCGAGGCGGCGGCTGAGCGATGGGCACGGCGTAGTTCTCGCTAAGGCGTGGTAGAACGCCCAGCACAGAGAGTCCGTTCCTCGCGCCATCTGGTGGTTCGGGCTCTTCAGTGGGCATTTTGGAGCTGGAAAATTGAAACCGGTTGAGAATGAAGGCCAAGCGAGAGACCCCCTCGTAGAGAACGAGCCTCTGGCTGACTCTCGAGGGCCGTTCATTGCATGCGGCAGGGAGAGCGTGGCCAGGAAGGCAGGACTGCCGCTGCAATTTGCAGTCAAGGACAGCTTGAAGCTGTCCTTGTCAGCGAATTCTGCTGTGCTGGCGGTGGGCGTGGCTGTGGGTGGCACAATTCGAGAATGACCTGGCAGTCCTACGGTAGTAACGACACATGGGGCAACATGGCGCGTTTCTGACAGCGAAGCAAGTTTCGCTACGCGTGTACACAAGCGAGAACAGGTGTTTGTGGGGGTGTTGTACATTTCGTCACCACGCGGACTGTGGTCAGATTCGCGCTAACGGAAACTCGGTAAAAGGGTAATGTACACCCAACCCTGATTCCGTCAGGCTAACTATATAACCTATCAGGGTAAAAAAAAAACTTGCTCTTTTGAGAGAAGGGTAACTATCGGGCATTCCTGATTTCGGCAGGGTAATCCTGAAAAAAAACGGCCGGCCCCCAGGGTAATCAGGGTGTTTTACCCTGATATTTTGGGCCCTGGTTCCGGCGCCGCCATCGTTCGCCGCCTGAGCAGTAGGGGCCTCCTTGTCGGTCACGCCTTTCCCGGAGCTCGCCTACGGTTTGGTCTGCTTGGCGACCAAAGGCGGGCCAGGCGGTGCAGCGACGTTAGCAGCAACCCCGTCGGCAGGGCCACCCTCTGCCCCCCCGCTTCCGCCTCCCTTGCTGTTCGACGTCCTTATCACCTTCCACCCCGCCTTCGACTTTAGCTGTTCGACCACGCTCTGAGCAGGAGGCTTCGTGCCGCGGCTCCCGTCCGATCCCTTGCTCCGCTTCACGCTCTCCTTGTCGTCTCCGTCGCCCGTCCTCTTCTGGCCCTCCTTGTCGGCCGCCCTCCTTTGCGCTTGATCTGCGTCATTGGCCGACGGCGACGACCCACGTCGACCAGGCGCCACAGTGCCGATCATCTCGGTCAACATCTTCATCCCGGAAGCAACGAACGACTGCTGGGTGGCCTCCGTCACCGTCTTCATGATGTCGGCCTTGAACGACTTCAAGAGCTCTTCCGGGAGGGCGGGCGGCGTGGGCTGAGGCGGTGGCGGCGGCTGCACGGGGAGCCTGGAGGTCACAGCGGTGGCGATGTTGACCTGCGCGGCGGATAGTTGCGTCGTGATGTACAGCTCCAAACCCCGCCTCGCAGCGCCCACCACCCCATTCACGTGCTCGGCCAAGGCGTCGACAGCTTCAGCGCGTGCACATGCCACACGACCCTCCGGATTGTCGAAGTCCTCCAACCACGCCGACGCCTGTTCCGCGAATGTCTTCATCGCCTTGCACGCTTCGTCGAAGCTGCCGGTGATGTTGCCCGTGATGGTCTTCGACATGTCCGCCGTCGCGTTTCGCAGCTGTTGCGCCGCAAACTTGTCGGTGTCGTCGACCTGCTCGGCCAACTCCTTCAGGTGGTCGACGAGTCCACGTACCCAACAAAAAACCTGTCAAGCCGAGCCTGCTCCTCATCGAGCAACGCCGCCATCCGAGAGTTCTCCGCCCTCAACAGCCAGTTCTCCCGTCGCAGTTCCTCGACGTCGACCGGGCCCTGCCGACCAGATGCTTCCTCCGTCTCCTGCATGCCCGTGATGTTCGCACCTTCGCCGGCGTCGACCGACACCTTCGCACCTTCGCATGCCGCCTCCTCCTGGCCCGTTTCCGTCGTTGCCTCCACGCCGACCTCATCCTTCTCCTTCCCCCCATCTTCTGCCGACCTCGTAGCATTACCCGCATCGCCAATCTCCGCTTCCTCGTTCTTTTCATCCGCCGACCCCACCGCCACAACCGTACCGTCTTCGTACTGCAGCTCGTACTGCACCTCGGCCTCCACCCCCTCCTCGTCGTTCTCCGCCTCATCCTTCCCTTCCTCAACCTCCACCACCTCATCGTTCTCGTCCTCCTCCTCCTCCTCCTCTTCGTGATCCTCCTCGACCTTCTTCTCTTTCGCCGCCTCGTCCTCCTCCCCCCCCTCCGACTCCGACTCTGAGTCCGAGTCCGACGACTCCGAATCCTCTTCCTTCCTTCCTGCACCTGCCGCGGCGTCGCCTCCTCCTCCTCCTGCACCTGCCGCGGCGTCGCCTCCTCCGAACACCGGCAAGTCCACCTGGTGCTGGGCGGCAGCTGCTGCTTGGGGCGCCGTCTGACTTTCCGCGCCGTCGTCATCCAACGCCTCCAGAAGTCGGCGCCGCAGATCGTTTTTCGGCGACGCGATTGCAGATGTACTCGACCATGCTATCACGGAGCGACTTCAAACCCTTTGCCTTGATGTTCTCGATGCTCACCGCACTTCGAGCCTTGTCGCCCGTCAGCAGGTCGATCTGCTTGGCCACCCACCCGAACGACGTCGCGGCAAGCATGCCGGTGCCGACATGCCCGTCCGACACTGTGCCCGGCACTTTCTGCATACAACACCGGCAAGCGCGGAACAATATGAGCGGTGCATACAGATACGCGCAGAACGTTAAGAGCGGAACTTTAACGTGCAACTCACGTCGCGGATAGGGTCGTCGCAGTCGGCAAGCCTGTCCTCGACCACTGCTTGTGATGGCGGCGCCCCGTCCCACTTCCTACCGGGACGCCCCAGCTCGGCCAGGACAGCCGTGCGGAATAGCCTGGAGCATCGTAGTAAAAAGAAAAAGGTCAGCATGTGATACCATGTGTCGGCGACTAACAAGCAAGAAAGCGACGACTATTCACAACTTACTTCAGCACGCGGACGGCCTCGTCGCGGTGCTTCAGTTTCCCGGTATGCGGGTCGATGTGCCGGATCGAGGTCCTGCAGACCTGTCCCTCAGCCTTCATCAGAGCTCCTGGGCAGAGGATGGTGTCAGAATGTTATGATCTAGCCTGTAGTGGGGTGCTCTATAGCGAGTACAACCCATCTAGGGTTTGCTATATGTATCCTCATTGCTGCTAGTGAAACTTCTCTTTGCCTAAACTCTCTCTTGCCTAGCTAGGGTTTTCCTAGCTATGGCTCCTAATTCTACCTACTATCTTCACATGGTAACAGAGCTGTTACACTCTTGGCCTGTGCGCCCCACGTGCTTCCGCTGCTCTCCTATCTGTCGCGAGCCACCTTATTTTTCCAGCGCGCGGCGGTTTTCTGCCTCGTCGGCCTGCGCGTCGCCCCCCCCCCCCCTCTCATTCCCCGTCGCGGCGCCCTGGGGAGCCGCGCGCGGCCCCCCGCTGCCCCGTCGCGGCGCCCTGGGGAGCCGCGCGCGGCCCCCGTTTCCCCGTCGCGGCGCCCTGGGGAGCCGCGCGCGGCCCCCCGCTGCCCCGTCGCGACGCCCTGGGGAGCCGCGCGCGGCCCCCGTTTCCCCGTCGCGGCGCCTTGGGGAGCCGCGCGCGGCCCCCCGCTGACTCGTCGCGGCGCCCAGGGGAGCCGCGCGCCGCCCCCGGGGACGCGCGCGCTCGCCCCCGTCGACCCGCGCGCCGTCCCGGTTCGCCACGAGCGCCGCCCCCGCTGCTGCCCGCGCTCTTACCTGTGTTCGGGTTTGGCGTTGGCGAGTGTGGGGGTGGCGGTTGTGGGGGTGCCGGTTGTGTGCCCCGTCCCCTACTCCTCCTCCTCCTCCGTCTCCCGCTGCTGCAGCTGCCGCTCAGGGGGGTGGGTGTGTGGGAGCCGAAGGAGTGGTGCTAGGGGGGTGACGTGGGAGTGGAGCTAGGGTTTCAGCAGGGGGTGTGTGAGAGGGGGGTGGGACAGTCGGGGGAGGTTGAGCGGAGGCTGCCGTCTTGTCGTCAGCAGCACCTGTAGTCCGGGGCGCTGTTCCGGTAGCCCAGTCGTAGCCAGCTGCGCCAGTCGCCCGTGGGTCCGTTGCTCGTCTGCCGCTCTTCTTAGCCGCGGAGCCAGTTACTCCTGTAGTCCGGGGCGCTGTTCCGGTAGCCACTGTGCCAGTATGACTCCTGTTGCCCGTGTGTCTGCAGCTTCAGCCGTCGCCTCTTATCTCCTCTCCTCCTACAGTCTCGCCTCCTCCTCCTCACTTGCCCTTTGTGAATGCCTCTAGCTTTGCTGGCCCTTGTGCACCTGCTCTGTGCCTGCTTATTGTGCTGATTACACCCCACTTTGGCTATGGGGGTGTGTCAGAATGTTATGATCTAGCCTGTAGTGGGGTGCTCTATAGCGAGTACAACCCATCTAGGGTTTGCTATATGTATCCTCATTGCTGCTAGTGAAACCCCTCTTTGCCTAAACTCTCTCTTGCCTAGCTAGGGTTTTCCTAGCTATGGCTCCTAATTCTACCTACTATCTTCACAGATGGCTATGACGCTGCAGTGTGACCCTGGAAGCGGGCCGCCGCTGCACATGCAAGACGGCGTCGACCACAACATTAGGCGATGATGCGACCGACTACACAAAACGACAACTGGACAACGGGGAACCAGCTCACGTCAATGGGATAGCGGCGATGTCGGCGTCGAAAACCGTAGCAAAGCAAGAATGGTCGGCGACCTTCATGGCCGATCGAAGCGGGCCGACTCCGATTACCCACAACCGCTGGTCGTCCCGCCCAATGCGAAACCAAGCGAACCTGAGCGCACGAGTGAGCATGGGGGATGATAACATGGCTGGTGAGCAAACGCTACCAGGTCGACGTCTACCGTACGTCAAACGCGGACAGTACGTGGTCGACGCTTGCTTTGCCGACCGACGTCCCGGGACGGGGACCATGCCTATTGTCGCGTACTCGGACGTACGGTAGATGACAAACAGCGACAATGCGACTTCCAACGGAGCTAGAGTTAGTCGGCGCCGACATCGACACTATTCAACCACCGCGACTACCCGAGTCCCACCTGATGCCGAGTCCCAAGCATCTCTCGTTGAACTCTATCCTATGGTCGCGAAGGACGGCGAAGTCGTTCCACTCGAAGGTGAAGCTGAGACCGCGACCCATTCGCACACGAAGGGGAAAGTCAGCCGAAGTCGGCGCCGACTTATCGGCGTCGGGGCTCGGCTCCATATCTATCGACTAACAAAAGACTCGGACGGCTAAGGTAGGAGAGAGGGGAGGCGCAGAGCTGTCAAGGTCTGAAAATCGAAACGAGATGCGGAAAATGAGGAGCGAAGCCACCTTCCACCAAGAAATGGAGGTGGTGCCCCACCCCAGGCCCGTTCAGCATCGCCCAAGGGTGTGGGGCCTCTCTCGGCAGGGCTCGGAGGGCGCATGCGCAAGTGGCACGGGTGGCCCGTCTCCGCCTTGGCAGGGCGTCGACTTCGCGTCCATTGGCCCAGGTCGGCGAGGGGACGCACACTTCGCATGCGCGCGGAGCGACGCTACGGCCGACACGTGTTGATTTCGTAGCGGATCACGATGCGAGAGGTTTGTGATTTCGCAGCGTGTGAAATTTCGCATGCGCCCGATGCGAAGCCACGGGCGAACACGTGGCGGCACCGCAACGGGTCGCGAAATTGTCGAGTGTCCCGAGGGGGCCCCGAATTTTCGCACGGCCCTCGCCTGCCCGTCCGGGCAGGCCGCGATGGGTTACTAGGACCTCGCGAGCAGGTGGCACGTGTGGGCTGCCTTCGCGCGAGGGAAAGTTACCCTCGCGCGAGGCGTCGCCAGCTCGCCTACCCCACCCGGTAATGTGGGGCGCTGTTCACGTTCGGAGCGGGGCTGCGGGGCGGCGGTCGTGCGCTCGGCCCAGCCCTGGGCCAGGCTGGCGGGCCCGCACGCGCGTCAGTCGCCCGCCTCGTCAGGCCCGGCTCCGACGACCCGTCCTGACGACACTGGCAAATCCGCTCCGACGACCTAGTTAGTTACTTTGGAGCCGAGGTGGCGATCTAGAAGTAAATATCAGAACCCGCGAGAGCAATTAGCATCTCTCGATCTAGGCATAACTAAGTCAACGTCGCAAGAGAGAGACGAGTAGCTTTGCGGTTTCTAGTATACTCTGTCTATGGCTGTTTCCATTTCCGTTACGGGGACAGATCTGAGAGCCCTAGTGATGAGAAATTTTCATAATTTTCAAAACTTACTACCGTGGCGAGTAGTAATAGGGCTCCTGCGGATATCAACCATATACTAAGGTGTAGAAGGGATTTGTTAGTGTCATTTTTCTCCGTGTTTAGAGTTTCGCCGTTTGTAGTGGCGCCATCGCAATCCAGCCTTTGTGGTTTCTTGCAGCCGCGAGAAGAGGTCCGAACACATGTTTGAGCGATTACGGAAATGTAGTGAAAGCCCCGAAAAGCAATCCTTTATTTGCCGAACAGACGTCGTTTTGGCTGCGCAGCCTCTGGTGACTCTCACGACGACTCGCGCCGGTGACGACAACGTGAATCGCGCACTACTACAGTGGCAGATCGCGAGAGTTTCTCAGGGTTCATTTCCTTCTCACCCCCTTTCCCCCTCCTCCCTTCCCCTTCGCCGTTCCTCCCTCCTTCGCCGTCGTCTGGTCTCCCTCCCTCCCTCACCTCCATTCCATCTCTCCCGCAATCCCCCCTCCATCTCATCCTCCCAACGCCCCCCTCTCCTCTCTCCCCACGACAAACCGCCCTTTCTCTACTCACCCACCCCCTTGTACCAATTTGCACACCGCTCTTCCCATTCCTGTAACCCCTCTTCCCACCGCTCTCTGTTTTTCCCTCTTTGGTGAACCCTCTCTCCTCAGTGCCAGGTAATCTGTACCCAGTTCTCTCCTCCCTGTGTGCTGTTCTCCCCTCCCTGTGTCCTGTTCTCCCCTCCCTGTGTCCTGTTCTCCCCTCCCTGTGTCCTGTTCTCTCCTCCCTGTGTCCTGTTCTCTCCTCCCTGTCTCCTGTCCTCTCCTCCCAGTGCCCTGTCCGTTCCTCCCTCCCACTCACCCTCTTATCCCCCTTGTTCATCTCTCTCCCCCCCCGCGCTCACTCTCTTACCCCCTGTTTTCACCCCTCTCTCTATTCTAATCACTCGCTTTCCCTTGTGCTCACCCATTTTTTTCCCCATTCACTGTTTTTCCCCCGGTCACTCTTTTTCCCCCTGTTCTTGCCCCTCTTCCCCCCCTGCAAACTCCCTTTTCCCCTTCGCTCAACCCTTTTCCTCCCACTCACTCGCTTCCTGTGCAGTTGCCAGTACTCACACACCCTGAATTGCAAGTTCTAAGGTATACACACCCACAGCCCCAAGTCCCCTCGTTTGTGGGTGCTGCATTCACCTCACCTGCACCCAAGCCTGTGCTAACCGACTCTGCTTCAGTTTCCTGGGCAAAAAATCGGTATCCGGAAGTTCTGGAGCCTCAGTTTTGTAATCCAGGTTGTTGGCTTCCTGATTTTCCTTCAAGACTAATACCTACACCATGCAATTGTTATTCCAACATGAAGAGTGTATCCTAGATGGATGTGATTGGTCTGGCCATTGCATGCAGCTTATGAGAAATGCAATCAATTAACACAAGAATTATTGTTAATCATAATGTACTCTACCAATACGCTGTCACAGCGAGGACTCCCTCCAATGCCATGGGAAAGTTCCCTATCTTGTCTGGCAATGGCACAGGCAGTCTGGCCAACTTGGGCAGAGCAGCAAGCACAGCAGTGTCCTAATGATCTTGATCAGAAGGCGCACAATCTCACCTATCTTGGGCTCTGGAGTGACCTCTATGATATCCTCCCCTTCTTCCTCCAATACATGCTGAATCTGATCATTTATTGCTCGCACCAGCTGCTGCACTCCTTGTGCTGGAACTCTGTCGATTTCTCTCACGCAGTCACGCAGAACCTGGGGGGCACATGAAGCAAACAAGTCATAAATAGGTTTCCTCACTCTAACACACATTGCTAACCCCTCTCCCCCCTTCTCCCTCCCCACCCCCAACCCCGCCTCCTTCAGCAGCCATGCCACTTCTTAATGCAGCTGAAAAGACATGAGCATTACTGCTAAGAAAGGCAACACAGTATGGAACAGAATCGCCAACTGTTGTGGTGGAGATGGGGGCAGGAGAGTTAAAGAGGTACAATGTATCACATGCCTGAAGGGAAATATCTTGAGCTTCCAAAATTTGTTGACTTAGCCTCCCTCTGTGCTCCTGGGTATTCCTCAGCTGCTGCCGCAGCCCGTTGCGCTGCTGCTTCACCTGCCAAGATTGAAAACCACCAAAACTGACGAGAGTCACATGCTCCAGAACAAGAGATGAGATCACAAGTTGGCTCTTGGTACAGAATGACAACAACCATATGAACACGCAACAAGCTGTGCATGCTCCCAGCCCCCACACATGCATGTCATGTCTGCAAAGTCATACAAACAAATTTTCCCACCCTACCTCATCGAGCTCTTTCCTCAAATCCCGCACCATCTTCTCCAGCGGCCCAGCTTTTTCAACCACCTTCTCCAGACACACGATCTCTTCTCGAAGTCTCGCCACCACAATCTGTGACCCCCGTGCTCCCTGCTCAAACACAAAATTTGACCCTTGCTTCCAGGTGTCCTACTTCCCTTGTTCTTGCAGCCAGATTCTCAATGTCCTCATTCGCCCTTGCATCCAGTATCTCATACCTTCTAACCCTACTCTCCAGTTTCTACTCTCTAACCCTATTCTCCAGGTATTCATACTCGCTAACCTTTCTCTCTGGTTTATCATGCTCGCAAGCCCTACTCTCCAGTTTCTCATACTCTCTAAATCTACTCTTTACACTCTCGTACTCTCCTGACCCTGCTTTCCAGTTGCTCAACATCTTTAACTTACTCCCCAATTTCTCCGTTTCTCTCTCGTACTCCTTAACCCTACCGTCATACATTCTCTCTAACCCTGCTCTGTATCTTCTCATACTTTCAGATTCCACTCACGTACTTTTCCAGCCTAACCTCATTCTCGCTTACCCTACTCACCAGGTGAGCATGCTCTCTCAGTATAGCTTCCATGAGCTCAAACCCCCTCATCCGTGTGACCAAATCAAAATTTGCTGCATGCATGGCATTCAAGTTTTCACGCAAAACCAGAACTTGAATCTCCTGACCCCGCAGCTTGTGCAGCGCTTCTTCCAGCAGGTGAGTTAACTCTGTTGAGAAGAGAAGCATGGACGGATAGAAACAAAAAGGGTGAATAATTTGGTAATGAAGTGCTCACTCAAAGTAACAATGGTTAAAAAACATCACTGAAGAGGCAAAATAGTTTGTATGCTCGCAGCACTGTAAATTTGATGTTTCGCAGCACTGCTTCTGAGACACTTTGCCTGAACAATGAGGTAGAAAAGAAAGTACTTATATTGAACAACTCCAGGTTGATGAGCAACCACTTTCACCCCACTCGCTTAAATTTCTCCTCGTCCGTCCACTGACCATTATCTGGCTGATTCCTGATCTGCAGACAGTGCTTCACTTTCGCCTCGAAAGCATTCAAATCGTAATTGCTCCATGCCATGGCTGCTTCAAGCTGCACGCACAACGAGGAGCGGGGGAGAGAATGAGCACATAGGCAAGTCTGATGCTGAATTCGATTGCATAGTTGTCGTGTTTCACTGGCAGCTTCTAACTGTCGCTTGACATTGTATTACAAGTTCCAGCCTATCGCCGAATGAATGTACGACCAATCGTACATACAACATCCCCTTCAGTTCCTCTAGATAAAACATCACTCAGTACCTCCTTCAGTTGATTTGCCGTGCGTGATCTGCTTGAGTAGTGGCCGTGCAGAATGTAAAAACTATCAACCCTGAACTATCAGAGTTTCTAACGCAAGTGGGGTAATGGTGGGTTAAATTCGTGCTGATATAGAATGAGCCTCGAGAACCGAAGAGGATACTTCATCAAGAGGTGGGTCGATGGGGTGATTGATTAGTCCATTATCAAGGAACCTCGCAGTAAATCTGGTTACAAGGTACGGCGAAAGAAGTTCAGGGAAGGCGATAATGTGGTTGCATGGCCAACGGAACCGGCGAGCTGAGAAAACCATAACACAAGTCCCACGAAGGACTCGCGACGTTCGGTACATCGATCGCAACGGGAGGAACGACGTGCGACTAACGAGGAACGACGATGATTGAACAAGGGGAGGGAGATGAGACCGCGGGGAGGAATAGAATCTAGGCGCTGCGACAAACGACACGTGGCTTGCTATTACAAGGTTTTAACCGGATGAACGCAGTGTGACCCAGAATCTAGGAGACAGGCGAGCCCAAGGCTAAACGCCGCTGAAAGCACTGACGCATTGGCTGAATCCATTTTGGGTGCGCCTGTTCAAGCTTATGGTGATCGAAGTTCAAACCTGGCGCGGAAGGCTCGATGCTGGTTGGCGCGCTGGCGTGAGCTTGTTGGATCGAGAAAAAGGCCAACCAGCCAGTGTGCAATATCTTCTTCCGACACTAACAGCTGCGGTAGAGTGGTGCGGTGTAGAATGAATGATGCGAACAAAACAAGTAGAACTAAAACGGGTGTTTCATGAGAACGGGAACCTAGATTCCAAGCCGTGTTCGCAAAAAAACTACGCCGATGCCGGGGATCGAACCCGGATCTTCCGCGTGACAGGCGGAGATACTGACCATTATACTACATCGACTTGTTTAGCCCGCACAATTAATTATAAATATTTTTGTTTCAGCAGCCTTACAAGCTCCGCCAGCTCGGCTCAGTGGGCAATGGGCATACAGTATCATACCTACGGGTATTTGTGGCGGACTTGGTGTTGGTCGTCGTGGTATAATGTGGTGTAATGTGGTGGTCGTATTCACTAGGAGGATCTTTCAGCGTGGTGATTGATTATACAAGCCACAAACACAGACATGATTCACCACAGTTCTTTAATGCATATGTTTTTGGCTGTGTAACATCAGAAAGCACAAAGCCAATGTAGAGCACAATGCAACATGATACGGTATCCCAATTGATACGGTACCAGGCCCCTAGATTGGTTTTGAGCTTGTCTGAGGCCTCAGAGTACCCCCCTGTTCCTAGTCTGGCTGCCAGAGTTGACCAAGTTTTAGAGTCTGTAAGTTCAGAGTTCACAAACTTTTCAACGCTGATGTTACAGACTAGCAGTAAAATTTTACTCTTGCTTGAAAACACCTAGTAGCAATTGTTTTGTTACATGTCTGCATAAGAGTCTGTCAACGCATCTAAAGGAGCACGTTCTACACCTACTGGCTCATCTACTTGCTCCTTCCCAGCCCTTGGGGGCTCCTCCCTGTGCCTTGAAGCAGGTGCTGTGACCGGCCGGCGCTTCTTGTAACTGCGCCACACCTCAACTACTCCTGGGACATCTAGCTCGTAGTCTAGCAATGAAATACAGAGCAGGTCACTCAGCCTGCAATCCTTTATGCTGCCCCTCTGCCACGTTTTGATCAGGTTCTGTCGGGAAAAGCCTCGCTCACACTCGACCGTGCTGAGAGGCAGCACTGCAATCGCCACCCAGAGTCCGACGAGGTTGGGGTACGCCTGCTGCCAATCGGATGTCCTGAGAATAGCGGTAAGTCCCGTGTGGAACTTACGCTCACTCTTCGGCGCTCTGGCTAGAACTGGACACAGCACTCGAAGCTCCCTCACGGCTTTCTTCTAGTCAATGCCTGCAAGGTAATAGAGCGATGGTTAGTATAAAAGCCGTGAGAGAGGGGGACCCAGGTGACACTTAAAACTAACCTGGTAGGATCTCGTCGGCTTCATCTGCGCGGAACAACGTGACAAGCGACAAGAGCCACTCCAGGCACTGTGCCTGCCATGCGTCTCGGTCCCATTGCGGTTGCCACAAGTCTGGGATAAACAGCTTCACTCCAGAAAGCGACTCAAGGTCGCCAAGTTTGGACTGGAGGTTCTCGACGACATGCTCGGCCATGTCGGTGCAGAGCGCTACGCACGCATCGTGGTGGCCGGGCCCACGGTAGTTCGGGTTGGTGCGCTCGTGAAGTTTCACCTTGAAGCGGTTCAAACTGCCGTCGGACGATGCACATTCGATCACCATTTCTGGTGACCCACGCGGTCCGTGCTTTTCGATGAAGCGGTACAGCCTCTCGGTTGGCCCTCCCACGAAGTCGTCACCACAGTCGACGTAACGGCTCTCCAAGATCGATGTCGTGCGCACAATCTGTGTGTGCACCAGCGCGTAGTCGAGTTGCAACAAACACAATAAAAGGACATTAGTACGAAGCGGATGACATTTAAACCAAAACATGCATCACACCGAGGAGAGCACGCTGACATTAGCACGAAGCGGATGACATTGACAAGTATCTTACCTGCCGCTTCTGGAAAACCAAGGAGAGCACGTTGAGCTGCTCCAGTAGGTCCGCGAGGAACCTGATGAGAAACTGGAACCTGTACGACGTGACAATTTCGTACATGGTCTGGTCCTTCCACTCCGACAACATCACCATGATTGCAGGAAGGACGTCTACAAACCGGGTGACTGCAGCTCCTCTTGAAAGCCAGCGCACGTCGTGTATGCCTTGGACCTCGAGGTTGGTCGAGGTGAACACCTCCTGCAGCTCCATGAAGCGCTGATGCCACGGCGACGATCGCCCGAGATACTCTTCGACGGCGCGGATGACGTCGTCCACCATGTTGAACGTTGGTATCTGCTCCGCTGCGGCCTTGGCAGCCAACGCCTCCCTGCCAAACAGAACCACACATAGGGGTTAGAAATGGTAAAAACATAAGGTCAAGACAATACAGAGCAACAACACAAACGCACCGGTGAGCGATGCAGTGGAACGAGACCAGATTGGGGATGAGCATTCGCAGGCGAGCAACCACACCGGTTTGACTCCCCACCATCACAGACGTGCCATCCGTGCTCACTCCCGCCACGCGACGCAGGTCAACGCCGACAGCCCTGAGGTGGGAAACCAACAAACTGCACAAAGAAGCCACGTCAGCCTTATCAACAGTCAAGTGGGCGATGAACTCCGTGACGACCTGTCCATCGCGGAGAAAGGTGGCAAACACAATCATGTGTTTGCCGCGGCGACGGTCGGTGCTCTCGTCCAGTGTAATCCCAATGAAAGGGCTCGTTAGAAGGTGCTCAAGTTGCGTTGTTTGGAGCCACGTCGCAATAGCTTGGGTGAGCTCTCCAAATCCGTACCTACACATTGAAAACAAAGTCGTTAGTGACACTCCAAGAGAAAAAAAATCAATGGGCATGCTACAGACACTACTTACGTGTTGTAGTACGTGCCGTAGCTCTGCTCGGGAAACCCGGGCACCTTCTTCTTGGCCAGGTAGCGCACCAGCCGGATCCACGAGTCCATAGGCTCGTTGCACTTTCCCATGAAGTACAGCGAGTCCACGAGCGACGACACCTGCAGCAGCTCCAAGTCTTGCGCTTTCGGGTGCATGTCAATGCGCCGCTGGTCCCCATACTTCTGGAACAAGGCGTCCTGGCGCTGCAGAGCAAATCGGTGCTTCACCGTCCCTTCGTGCTTCTTGAAGGACTGTGTCTGCACGTCGGTAGCTCCCTCGGTACGCCGCCCACACTTGCCATTCAAGCCCGAAAACTCCAAACAGATTCTGCACTTGAAAGAAGGAGCACCAGTAGAGGTTTGTGTTAGAACAAGCCAACTGTAATCGGTGGACCACTTGGCTTTAAACCGTGCATGAGCTTCCTCGTATTTCAACTCAGGCGTGTCGGCCTTGGGCTTTGCGCTAGCCTGCGTGGCCTTTGATCTGTCTTGGCTGGGAGATTCTTCACTCTCGGGAGTTTCCACGGTCGATGGAGGAGGTGGAGTTGCCCAGGGAATGGTGGACTGACGGTACCACAGTTTCGTCAGTGGCTCGGGACGCGGAGGTGCTCCGTCCGACGCCCCATGGGGCATCGCAAATTGCGCAGCTGTCCCTGGTTCAGCGACGGCCTCGTGCGGAGGTGCAGAGTCTGCGGGACTCGATGGGCGACTGGAGCTGGGTTGCGACGGTGGCGCTCGCGGTGGATTGTGCTTCGG